GTAACATTTGTAGCATCAGTATCAAACAGTGAGATCTCTTCCATAAAGATGATATTATTCACAATTATTTATAAGGAAGCTGTTCAATGACTACTGCCTTTTAAAATCTTTTTTAATTTCACTGAACATTTATGTAAGCAAATTTAAGTGAACACTATTATCCATAATTACCAAAAATTGTTTGAATTAAATTCCTGTACAACTATAGGAAATTTGAACTTGTGAAGTTTTTGGGCACAAGAGAAAAAATGTTTCAGTATACATAGTTTTCTGCTAGTGCGGGCAAAACAATTTTGATAAGCTATTGCTCGATGCTATGTCATGTAATTCCCAAAGAAGCAATGGGTAAAACTGTTTAGACTAGTTTATTTTTAATGTCCACTTCCTACTTTAAGTATTCTTTCATGATGAATTACAAAGGTCCTTTATACAATAATATTTTATTTTTATTTATAAGAACCCAGAGCAATGTTATAGAATTTCCAGTAGAAAAAATAAGCAGTAGAGCTTAGTTCTGGTTGTTTTACTCTTTTTGTAAAGTTTTTATTTGTTTTCATTTATTAAATAATGTGAATATACTGACAAAAGATACATTTTCATAAAATTTCCTGCATTGGTAATTTTTTTAACTCAGCAATTTTAATGACCTTCTGTCTCCTGAAAACTTTTGTCCAAATAAAATTTCCTTGGAAATAATCCAAAATATATCAATTGTAAGGACAAAATTTGTTCTTTATTTATTACTTTTATGCTTCCTCTCAAATCTGCTGTCCAAACCTTTCTGCAGTTTGTGAAGAAATATACAGACAGTAAGTCTAAATCAAATATTTATCTTATATTCAAGAAAATTTCATACAACCTAATAGTTTGACTGAAATGATAACTTTAATATTTTCTAGACATTTACAAAGCTGGATTGAGAGTATAAGGTATCAAGTAATTGAATATGGCCTATAAAAGCAGTGATAGCATTTAAGAAATCTCAGACTGTTATATATTTAAAGCCATTGAACTCAGAGTCAGTAATAAAAGATTTTGTGAGACAAATAAAATTGTAAAGATCAAGCAACATGTAGTTAGGTAAGTCATCATATATCATCCAGTCTTATACCGATAAGGCGATATATTTACTCCTTAAGAAAAAACTTAGAAAAAAAAAGAAATAATTTAGAAAATTCTTAAATTTTTCATGTAACATCCAAAGGAAAACTTTCTACTATGCATTTCATGTCTGTCTGCATCTCATTTTTAACAAAAAATAAAAGTATTTTATCTCTTTTAATATTATTGATAACATAATACAAACAACTTTGTATTTGAAGTTGAAGCACCATTTAATCATTGAAGCATGTGGTGGATAGTACATATGGTTTGTGGTGAGGCCTATTAAATATATACTTAATAAATTTTATAACTTAAAAGACAAGAAGTCAAGAAGTCTAAAATTCACTTATAATTCTATTGCTTATTTTCTGTTTGATGTGTTAATTTCCCAGACATTTGTTGTGGTTCGTACCTAGACATCACGTCACATCCTCATGCAGTCATAGGTTAAGCTTTTGAGACACAGATGAATCTAAGACGTGTGCTGCTGGGATCAAGGATGTGATGTTGGGATTGATTCATGGAGCCATGCTAGGATGAAGGATGCCTCACCTTGGGTGTGAATGCTAAGGGTGGGTAGCCTGAATAAGATATAGCAGATAGAAAGAGGGTAGTTGTTGTGAGCTGCTTCTCATTTACTTCACTGTTTGATGTCTTCTGCCCACCATGACCTTTTCCTCCTGTGAGTTGCCCCTCTGCCATGCTACCCTGCCTTGGAACCAGCCAGCTATGAACTGAAGCCTCTACAAACCATGAGCCAAATAGACCTTTCTTCTTTGAACTTTGGGTGTCAGGCATTTTGTTTCAGCAATAAGAAAAGTAACTAATACAATATTCATTTGATTCTTTAAGGATCATTTATTACTAACTTTTCCTGATTTATGTTTGATAGTATATGTGTTTACTTATAATATTAATATCATAGTCTTTTGATAATGAAGTAGTAAAATTAACAATGATATTTTGCTAATTAAGTAAAAATACTACCAAATATCATACCGCTGTGCATTAAAAATAAACAATATCAGTTATAAAAGTAGTACTTTGCATGAAAATGAATGAAATACATGGGTTCTCCTATGTTAGAAATCAAAAAAGTATACTGTCCTGTTATTTTGAAACTTCACTAGAATGAAAAAACAGTTTTTACAGCTAATAAACATTAAGAGGATACTATGAAAAATAGTTGATTTAAATTCCAGACAATTTCAAATCATAAAATATAAATTATAATTTTTACATCTTTACTTTCCTTTATATTTTCATCCACAAAATCTGTGACCAGATCTCCAACACAGAGTTAGAAGTTTGAGCCTCTTGACCTTACAAATCACTACTATTGATGGCCTCAATAAACTTCAGTGTAATTGAAAGATCATGGTTCCCTGTGTAGGTGAACAGTTTAGTGAATGCTTATTTTGTTATATCAAACTGGAAAATGTTAAATTATAAGCCAAGTACTTCCTGGATCAATACAGAACATGTCTCAATTATCACAGCAGGATTTCTCAAACTGCATTTTTTCCATATGGGTATCGCTAGTTATGCATAAGTTAATAGTAGCTTGATAAAACAATACAGAGCCTTACTACATCTGTGGATAATGTTAGGTAAGGGTAACTGTGATGTTTTCAAGAAACAGTGACTTTTTAATAAACAGATTTAGCTGTATATTATTGTATAGAAAAATATCTTCAGACATAACTGCTAGATGAATTTTTATTATGAAGTAATTATAGTTGTTATAACTTCAGTAAAATTCAGTATGTAGAACTCTCAGGCATTAAATGTTGGATTGTGCAGAATGAGGCAGAATTTTTATTTAATATTTATCAGTTTCATGGTAATTATACTCAATGTATTTTATGTTAATGGCTTCCACATGTTTAAAAGAGATTTTATCCACTGTTGAGCTTTATATATCATTTAGAATTAATCAGATGGGGATACAGCTCAGTGGCACCGCCCTTGCCTGGCAAGCTCGAGGTCATGAGTTTGATTCCAAGTACCAAAATTAAATAAATAAATAAAAGTAATCAGAATTATAAAATACTATAATGATTTTGAAATTAAATATTTTTAGTTTTTAGAAGTTTCATCGATATACAATCTATTTTAAAAGGAAAATTGAATAATTTTAGTAAGTTCCCATGATTCTTCAATCACTATCAAAATCTAACTTTATTACATATATAACCTACCAGTAAGAAAAGATAAATACACACTAACAGGGACATCTTTTTCCTCATGGAATTCCTTCAACAAGCTCCAACATACAACCCTGGAAAAATAATAGCATACTTTTTTGTCTGGTTAAGTCTGTCTGTTGTATATTTCATTTAATGGAAACATACAAAAGATCCCCTATCATAATTGATTTGTTACGCTTAACATGATGTTTACAAGGTACATTCATGTGATAGAACCTATTAGAACTTCATTCTTTTTTAGTGATGACAATATTGCATCATATTCCTATATAATATATTAAAAATTAAATCAACAATTGGTGAACAGTTGTGTTGCTTGAAGATTTTGCATTAAAAGGAAAATAAACAGCTCCACAGTGATAGCAGAAGACTTTCATGGCCTATTTCACTCTTATTGAAAAACCTCAGTGGAATTTACAATAAGAAAATGAATTAAACATCACCACGGAGCAATAAAACCTGACATGGAAAGGAATTTTTGCCTCCAAGTTTTGTTGGCATTTCTGTCTACTTAATTAGACGTGGAATTGCTGGTGTCTCTCGGTTTGAGACTTTGGGTCCTGCAGACTAATGGCAATAGCAGCTACAACCCCTCATGGTCTCAGCAGCTGTGTATGAAGCTTCCAATTTTCCCTCATGTCAAATTTTCACATTTTTGTCATAAGGGTAGACAAATAAATCAAAAACTTTGTTTCCCTATTAATTTTTGTAGCACTACTGTATTATAATTTTATACCAACCAAATTTCTTGATAAATACAAATCACAACTTATTCATAATGAATATGTAATACATTATGTCATACTTTTTATGGAAGATGTGAAATGTTGGTAGAAAAGTAAAAACACATGTAAGTAGTTACACAGATTTTTTTTATCTACAATGCTGCAGTAAATGTAAACATACATAAATTTTGATCTGAACTGCTGACTTCTTTCCTGAGTACGTAATATTGTACATATAATGAGATTTTTGTTTCCTGTGACTCTAACAAATCACCTATGTATTTCTTTAAATATAGATTGATGTTTAATATAACTGTCTTTTTGCTTCAGATATCAATTTTCTTATGCATATGACAAATGAAAAAAATAAATTTTGGTATGTGAGAATTAATTGATATTGTTGGTAAAATTTTATAATTTTGAGAGTAGCAAAATGCTCTGAAAGGAAGATAGATAAGACAGGCACACCAAAGTATAACTTAAATTTTTTTCTGTTGGTTTGATATTTTACTGAACACTTTACTTTTTCATTAAACGTTTTTGTTTAACTTTCAGGAGTAGAAACCCATATTTGATGGTATTATAATGATACTCTCTGGTGAAGTCTTAAGTCCTCACTAAAGAAAAATGTAAATGTTTAAAATGAAGCACATAGTATAAACATAATACTTCACATGAAGTACTTTTAGCTGACCTTCCTATTCAAATAATCATACATTCTATTCCATCATAAATACTTGCATTGTACTTCATTATAGCATTATACGTTAATAGATACAAGTATTTTTAAAACATTATTTTTTCTGACTTAGGGATGTTGTTTAGTGGTAAAACACGTACCTTGCATGAAAATAGCTTTTGATTTAATCCTCATTATCACCTTAAAAATCTATTATTGTCAAAAATGATGTCATAGTTTTATTGCACTTTAACCTACTGTAACATGTTTTCATTGATGTATATTTTTGTGTATAATAATTTTAAAATTACATAAATATTAATACTTTAACTAAATATTCTTACATTTATTCTGAAACTTATAAAGTGGATAATAATTTTGGTAAGCAAATGCTTCCCTACACAAATATTGTATGTAGATAACAAGAAACCCAAGCAGAAAGACCAAGGAGGATAACTATTTTTCAGATCATTTTCAGGCACATAACACCTGCCATCTCCCAAGCACATCAGACATAGACTTTAGAGATGAAATAAGTGCACTTCACAGATACCTAGACTCTGGTAGTTGGTTAAAAGTGTGCCGCTCTTCTTCCTTTTCTGACCACCTGATATGACAGACAGTTTGTTTCAGTCCATAATCAGCTGGTTCCAAGGGAGGTGGCCTGACTGAGGGGCAACAGTTCAAGGCTGCAGAAGACAACAAAGCAACAACAGCAAAAAGGGGAGAACAAACCTCTTTTCCTCTCTTACACTGTATGCATGCTCTCCACCTTCTGCTGGTCTAACTACATCCTTTGCCCCTCTCTTGCACAGTCTCAGAACTTTTCCCAAGTGAGGACCCTGAACCCCTGCTGAGTCCCTTAAACTTCTAAACTTTTCAAATTGACACAGACAATATCCTAGAGCCCTAAGGGCATGTCCTCTACACTGTAGAATGTAGAAGTGCTGAGTTATCCATATAAGCTGCTAAATTTCTCTAGTCGACGCACTGCAAGGTTTTGGGGAGCAAGAGAGACCCACGGAACATTTGCTGTTAGTGAATTTTGCTGGATTGACATACCTGGTTGAAATTATTGTAAGTATTGGCTCCTACTGGCTTCTCCTCATTCTTTTTTCAGTTGGTGGTGACATTTTAATCACATGGTAGAATGGAAGTCATAGACAAAGCATTCGTGTGCCCTTTTTTTCCACTTATTGCCTTCTGGGAGATGTGTGGATGATGTCTGGTAGATGAAATCTCCATTCCCTCCTCAAATACATCCTGAAATCCGAGGAGGGAAAAAGCAAATAGTTTAAAAAAATTCATTCTTTAATGTTTGTCCTTACGTTCTCTCTCTAACTTTGTCTCCATCTAGGAATACCAGGTTGAATCAATAATCAAAATTGCTACACATATTTTTTGTGAGTGTAAGTATCATGTACTTTTTTCATAGTACAGGCAATAAGGGTGTAAAAAAATAAAATTATGGAAAAATATATTTAATTATACAGAATTCAAGGAAGTCAAGGCATAAAAATGGCATTCAAGAAGGAAAGTTACATATATATCCTATTTAGAAAAGAGGTAAGTTGTAATACTCATAGATGGAAACCAAGTTGTTATTGAATGGGCTCAGACATGCTAAGGGCAGATAAAAGGATTCTCTTCTGAAGGATAAATAACTGTGAGATAGGTCACTTTTTCACCAAATAAATATTTAAGCTATAAACAAAGACAATGTCCTTTGTGAGCACAGCAGAGCATCTATCAAATAGTTTGAAATTGTCTGAATTTTATGCAATTTAGCTAAAATTTCAGACTAATTGTGAAGTACTCTGGGGATAACCAATGACACCAGAACAGATTCTTTACTACCTATTAAACTACAACACTATGAAGAATTAATGTACTTTTTTTGTATTTTTATAACAAATAATTAAAGCAAGTAGAGAAAAATAGAGGCAAACATAAAGACAACATAGTGCAGAGACACGGAAACATACAAGGTTTAATTTGAAATGTGACTTAGGAGGGAAATGATTGTAGCCATTTGACTGGACAGAACTAACAATACTTGATGATATTAGTGGTGTGTTTAGCTACTAAAATATATTTTCAAATTACTGCATTCTATTCTTTTGCTGTTCTTACTATTCTCTTGTTTGTAGGGAACATCTATACTTGTGTGAGCTGTTCACTGAGAATGTGTAACCCACAGGACAGGCTGAGAGGTCAGCTAGGAAACAGCAGAAGACAGAAGACAAGACTGCAGTGATAGAAAAAGGTGATAATCAAGCCAAATGCAACAGCACTGCGTGCTGTCGGGCAACAGCAAAGGATCCCTGTGCACGCAAAAAGAAAGTTGCACAATATGAAGGAAGCAGTAAGAATGAAATGAAGTAGAAGAGACATGCAGAAAGAAAAATGCTCTCGGATATGTCACAATCATCTTGATTCTTTACCTGGAAAACCTGTATTTTTTCCTTTGTAATTATCTAATATACTTTGTGTCAAAGAACAAGGACCTGAGTTCCACTTAAAGAAGATAAAGAAGTTAACAGATACCGTTCTCAGGTTTTATCATGAAATTAGAAATGAAAATTTTCAGTTTCTGGTAGTCATGAACAGAGAGCCTCAGGTAAGCCCGAGAGTGCAGGCAGACAGTCAGGATGTTCCTGCGCAGGCTCCTCAGGTGCAGCTGTGCTGGGGGGAAAAATCATGCTGTTTAGCCTAATGAGGCAGAACAGAATAAAGGCCAAGGTAATTCAGTAGAGAGGGTCTTAAATGCACAGCTGTATCAGCTGCTGCCTCCTTCCCACCTGGTCTTCATTTTTTCTCTGTGTAATCTGTTTGCTTCCCTACTGGGCCTGCTAACATTATCTGATTCCAGGCCAAACTGATAATATTTGTTATGAGGCCCGCCAAAATTAATAAAATTTGAGTTTGTCATCTTGGTGTTCCCTGAACTAAAGTTAACTACCTGTGTCAAATCCTAAAGTACACTTGTTACACCAGCATCAGGCTAAGACGTAAATCTCCATTTGAACTACGGAACAGCTGCACTCCTCTTGAAACTCTACATGCACAGAGAGATGTATGTTTGTAAGTGGATACAATAGACGGAGTGCTTGTTGGTGTTTTAAAAGCCAAACCTGGAATACTTTTCTTTTGACTTTACATATGGAGAAAATTACGGTGTAAAATGTAGACAAGAATAAAATAATACCAAGATGAGTAAGTCCATTAAAAATGTAGATGAGCAAATGACTTTAGCGTTATTAATGCTGACTGGGAATTTGGCCAAATGAGCATGTATATACTGGGGACCAATTAAAAGGCTTACCATTTTAATCACTGGCAGAACTGGACATTCAGTGTTTTCCTGGATGACAAGAACTTTCTTTTGTTGTTTTTTCAGTTTGGCTTTGTTTTGGTCTAGTGAACTGCACCAGAGTGTCCTCAGTGTAGAGAAGATAACAATACACTGCCACAGTGTTAGTAACAATATCTTGTTACTAACATTTAGTAACAGTATCTCAGAGTCTCTCCACAGCTTGAGGGAAAACATTGCTGCCATTCTACCCTGAGGAAAATCTACAGTAACAGAATGTTTCCAGAAGTAGAAACATCCTACCAGTCGGGAACCTCCACGTGGACCTGACCTCTCAGCTTTCCCTGACTCCCCACCAGGGCAGCTGCTGTATAGGATCCGCTGTAACATACCAACGGCGGTGCAGTGCGTTGGGGCTGGACTCATGGAGAATGTCCTGGAGCTTCCCAAGAAGACCCCTCCAGCATTACTAGGCAAAAAGATGGATCAGGAATACCTTCCTAAGCCCCGGGAACAGTTCCTCCTGAAATAATTAAATAGACACACATCTTTCAGCTTTGATTTTTTTTTTTAATCAGCCTGAAAAGACCAGCTTTCAGATTCCCGAAGAAATTGCAAACACATCTTTTAAAAAAAAAAAAATGTAAGTTCTGATTCCACGTAGAGTGACTGAATTGTTGAGTTACTCAGAATTTAAAGCCTTTGTTTAATTACTTGGTTCATAGAAATTCCCTTGATTCACTAATACACAATTTAATCCCCAAAGGCACTCTGATTTTCTATATTTCCCTCTTAAATTTCAATGGGTATTTTTCTATCACAGTGCTATACATTCTCTTATACGACCCTCTACTTTTTCTTTTTTTCAGTATGGGGATCAAACTCAAAGACCCTCTACATTGGTAAGTCTTTTAAAATATTTGGAATTTCTTACTTGTGGTTATTTGAAAAAGGTACAACTGTGAAAACACTTACTACTTTTCACAAGCCTAAAAAGTAATATATAGGAAAAAATACATGATCAATTATGATATTTAAGCTTAATTCATAAGGAAATCCCCATCACATTTGGAGGAAAAAACTAATCATCAACACCAAGAAAATCCTGTCTTCTACTGTTTCGACCAGCTTTTGTTTCATAAAACATGAATGAAGCCTTTTCAGTGACTCATTGCAGAGTCTGACATAGTGAGGTCATCTAATGAATGCAGGGTAACAACCATCTTTGAGTGTAGGTTGTCAGTTGAAAGATGCCATTTGCTGTTTCTGTTTTGGTCCTTTGAGCATGATTTCGCTTCATGTGTGGCCCTACCATGGGCTCCAGTCTTCAGCCTTATGTGTGTATTGCTTCTCATTTCATCCTCAGATTTCCTAAGGATTTCATAGCCAAACCATCGATCTTCATTTCTCCTGCTCCCCTGGAGCAGCAGGAGATTGTGGAATGTTCTCAGGCTCTTTCTGTGCAAGATTTTCTTGTCTTGTTTTGCACTGTTTTTTTTTTTTTTTTTTTTTTTTTTTTTTTTTTTTTTGGTGGTCAATAACCCCACTCTTTTTCATACCTCAGATTTTGAAGACTTTTGTGACAGTTATTGTTTCCTTGCATGGCTTAAAAAGTAGTCATTTAATAAAACTTTCAAATCTTTCTTGGGTCCTTATTGCCTTCCCAGCCCATTAGGTTTTTGAGTAGAAGCCAGAACAAAATGCAGGGAAGAAGATGTAGATATGCAAAATGGCTTTCATAAAAGCACCTTATGTCACATTTATAACTTCAATACACAGCTGATTCACAGTCAGACAGCATAATCATTAAAGAATAAGAAGGACAGCAGGGACTACTTGGATGAAACTACAATGAAAACCTGTTTAATTTTCTTATCTGTAAGTGTGAAAAATGTTTAGTAAGCTGGAATGTCACAAGAGGAAGCCCAGAGAACACAGGGATAACAAACACCAGGAGGACTACGGAAGAGGAAGTTTTATTATTTTCAACACAAGTCTCTCACAGACATTTTCTTAGATTTATGTGTAAGAATTCCACTGGTTTTCCTGTGATAATGGATATTTCACATATATAATTTATATACTGATTTTGTTTCTTACAGCTTATCACTGGATTGTAAACATGTTTTGGATTTTTATTGATATTTTATTTAGATAATCATCTCATTTGCAAAGAGTGACATCTTTTCTCATTTTCTATTTATTGATATATTTTACATTAAAATAGTACCATGTACAACTGTCAAGTAGTTTTACATAATCAATTTTCTGCTTTTTAATTCTAGTTCATTTATTTTTTGCTGATTATTCCCTTAATTATTTGATCATTTCATTGAGACACAATTGATACTATAACTAACACATTCACATATTCAGGTTGGAGTTTGACATGTTTACTCTATTTTGTTTTTTTTTTTTTTCATTTACTTATTGGCCTCACTAGGTCTTTAACTCTGATTTTGAATATGAATATTTTTTTTTATTTTAAAATGTCATTTATTACAACATTTATAATGCTTATAGAGTTGCACGATGGTCCATTCATCATGTATCCTGTCTGCATACCTTGGTGCTGTGAACTGTACCATCCTGCAAGTGTCCATGCTACTTCTGATGGCAAGGATGGTGCTGGTGACAATGGTCAGCGTCATCAGTGGTGTCCAGTTTCCAGTCTGGCGCCTTTCCCAGGCTTTTCCAGGTATTTTTACTCTGACCTCAGTGGGCAATGCTGGAATTCAGATGATCTGTGTTTGGTGGGCCAGCATCCTCGTGTGATTTCTCATTAAGCAGATCCTGCTGTGTCACAAGCAAAGCACAAAGGAAGTGATCTTTCTTAGGGCAAGGGGATTTCAAGGTGACCCATGTGGAAATCCATTTGTTAAATTGAGTTTGGTGTTTTGGAGCAAGGAGGCCGTTTTGTTTTAAGCTGTTCTGTTTCAGCAGCCAAGATAACATCCATGTCCCTTTGCTTCAAAGTCACGTAATAAGAGGTGTGCGGTTGCTTTTTTATTTTATTTTTTTTAGGAGTGAACCTAAGCCCTCTCTTGCAGTGAAGCAACTGCTCTACCCTGAGCTACTCTCTTACCCTGGCTTTTGCTGTTGCTGCTGTTTTTTTTTTTTTTTTTTTTTTTTTTTATTTAAGAGGAAAAAGAGAAAAACACAAAACAAACCAAAGCGGCGTAAGGGTACACGCAATACAGAACTACAAAACAAAACAAAACAAAAAACCATAACAGTAAGAAATTACCTGCTAGTAGATTACACACTATTTTCTTGAAAATAGTTCCTCAAATCACAGTATCAAAGAACACAAGGTGGACATTCAAACAGGGAGACTGCAAACAGCTGTGTTCAATGTTCCAAAAACATTGATAAAGTCAGCTATTTAACACCCCCAAACACACTTGCTGTTATATCCGTTAGAGCTCCTTTTCTTTTTTTTTTTTCCCTCTCTTTTTTACAACAAAATTTACACATCTTGGATTTTATTACTCCTTAGTGCTTATTACTTTCTTTTGGGGGGGGAAGAATACAGTCAAATATGGCAAAACAAAGCTGTCAGTCAATACCAAGGATAGACATAGCACATGGTGTAGAACAGAGTACAAGTTTATCAACAATGGTTATCAACGTTGTCCCTTGTTTCCTTAAAAAGAATTGTCTATCTTATTAGATATTATAAAGTTGGACAAAACAGTAGAGAACAAGACCAATAAAACTTAGGCATTGTAAACATTACAGGACTTCCAAAGAAGACAATAGTCAAACCAGAATGGGTATCTTAGTGAATCTTATTGTCTTCAAAGTAGTTGCCTATGTCTTCAAACTTGATACTATTATATAGAATGGAACAGAGTCTAATCAGTCAAAACAAGATCGTGGGAGTACTACAGGACTTCAAAACAAGTTAATAGGAAATCGAAAAGAGTTACTATTTATATATCCTAATTTTTGTTGAATTTTTTCTTTAATTAAGACAAACATAAGAAATGACTAAATAATATTTTTTTTTGAAACAATAAGGGGGAGATTGAGATAAAACAGGACATAACAATATAACAATAGAGGTCACAGCATATTCAGCTATAAAGAAGGATCACATTGAGATATTTATCAATAAATGGGCACAGCTTGAAACCATACTCATAAGTGAAATAAATCAATCTCGCATGTGTGAATACCGAATAGTTTCCCTAATGTAAGTAATGATTCAAATATATAAAAATATGTGGTAATCATGATTCCCCATTAGGTGGCCTTGAAGCCTTATAAAGTTTTCACTCATTAATTAGAAAGGCTTTATTCTGGGCTTCTTGATATGAAAATATTTGAAGCTAGAGTATATGAAGTTTTACCCAAATATTTCAAGGAAAAAGACACTATGGTAACTACTATTAAGTCAGGTTATAAGGTGGTGAAGTACTAGGTTGTTGAAACAGTCATGCTGTGACCTCTATTGAATATGAATATTAAAACATCATTGTAATAGGTGTTTGAAAAAATAATTCCTATTTATAATTCTTTTTAATCTTTTCCTCTTTGTCCAACATGTATGACAAATTTGCCATTAACCATCTTTAGTCTTTTAATCGGAAAATAATTTATTTCTCATTGTTGGAATAGCCTTGCTTCACTCACATCATGATGATACTCTCTTATAAATCCTAAATTTTGTAAAGCAGTATTTGTTTATTTCTGTCTATATCAATAGGAGATATTTGTACAGTATTTTATTTCCTTAAAATATTTTTGCTTTGCTTTTAGTTTAAGGCTTTCCTAAGGAGGAAAAGGATCCGTGATAATGTCATCACAGTTTAGTACCTTTCCTTTTCTTGCTTTCTTCTGGTTAATAACCTGAGTAGTGCTTTCTCAGGTCTCCAGGTAGACTTTTATGGCTGCTTGATGAGGTTTGTGAACATGAGCTCTGATATGTCACCTGTGGGGCCTTGTTCACTTTTTGATTCTTGACCACTTCTCTCATAGGTTCGTCCAATATCTCCTCAGACTTCAGGAGAGTTATTTTTCCTAAACCTCAAGGATTTAAAATATTGTATGTTTTGTTTTGTTTATTTTGAGGTATTGGACATTGATCTCAAGAATCACTGAACTATATCCCCAGCCAAATTTCAAATTTAATTTTTAGAAAAGCTCTTACTAAGTGGCCTGGGATGGTGATCCTCCTGACTCTTCACCCTCTCAAAAGCCGAAATTAGAGGCCTGTAGCACCAAAGCTGGCTAAGACTAAGGTCACATAAATAAAACAATAGCCGTGAATTTTCAGGTGATATTTGTCTTGCTTGGTTATCCTAAAAGTTCTCTCTTTGCTGACTTTGCAAAAGTATCTTTTAAATTACTTTGATCATATTCCAGGCTATTGGCACACATTTCATTCCTGGAGATGATTAGAATATGGTGTTTCTAAAAACAGAAGGACTTATCTTTCCTCCTCTACTTTGCAACTAAGATTAGGTAAGTGGACAGATATCTCCCCCCTCCAACAACTTGTGTCAAGTGTTCCTCCAAATCTGTACTGTTACATGTTTTATAGATACCCTGTTGCCTTCTCCAGTGTTCATGGCTATCTTGAAACCTACATGTGGCAGAGTACAAAATTAATTATATCTAGTTTTATAAGCAGCATTAGGGAGCCAAAAGTAAATATACTATTTTCTGAGCGGTAAAAACTTCTCGTTTTAAAATCTATGACCTAAAATTTGTTCTACGAATATACCAAATTATAGATAACACAGGATGAAGAGGCCTCTTCATATCTTTTAAGTTATCAATCACAATTTATGAATCCAATTACATACATGAGTTTTAATAATTTTACATTGCCTAGAAAGGTATCAAAATCATTCCAATACTGTGATTGTAAAATGGACCAATTTTTAAAACTATGACAGTTTACCTTTGAAAAACTTGAATAAATATTTTGAAAATCAATTGAACTATACTTATAATGAGCAGTCCATTTTGGGTTATTTTGGAATGGGTAAATTTTAAATTGATATAAAAAATTTTGTATCATAATTCTGTTTTATATGCTTCTTGTCTGATTTTTGCAAATGAAATAAAATACAAAGTAATTTAGTTAGGTTTGCCTCGATTATTGAAAATTTTGAAATTCTTTAAAGTATGAAAGCTATTTTTAAAGCCACAATTTTTACTCAAATATTATTTACATGATGAAAAACATTAGTGTATTTAAAAGGAAAATGTACTCTTAAATCACTACATGTGAGTAGTAAAGATTCAAGAATAAATACTATAAAGATCAGAGGAAGACCTCACAAAATTGCAAATAAATCTGCTTTGTACATATTCTTTTCAGATGCACATAGAAATGCTTACTGAGTTTTAAAGGAATATTTCTATTATTTGTGATCAGATAATGTTATAAATTATTTCTTATTGCATAAACTTATTTGTAATACTAGAAAAATGAACATTTAATGTATCACCAGCTTATTGGTGATTTTATTGAATCATAAAATCCTGGGACTCTGACAGCCCAGTTCCTGGGATTGAGAGAGGGTCACTGAGGTTGGGGCAGGCAGGCCGAGACCTGAGGAGCTGTAGAGTGTGCAGGAGGCCGGGCAGCTCCTTGACAGGCGTGGGAGCGATGACCCCAAACTCTGGGGCTCAGGCTAGTGCACGCCTGGCACCACCTGGGCACGCGGGGCTGTGGGACCGATTCTTCCAACAGCAACCTGGAAATGGTCAAGGTGAGGACAGGGCAGCGCTGAGGGGTCCTGGCTCCTCACGGGAGCCCCAAACCCCGCTCTGCTCCAGAAATGCCAGTCCGGGGTGACTTTTTCTTGCTGGTTAAAAACGTGCCTGCGCCTCCAGAGTCAAAGGGTGCCCTTCTCGTGGTTCTGAGTGAGTAGGGAGCCAAGGCCGGCTTGGTGAGGGGGGCCCTCTTCCCCATACCTCTCGGCCTTGCCAGTAGCTGCCCTCACGCTATAGTAACATTTTTACAATGAATATTTTGTGCTTACTTTTCAACAACATTGCAAAATATAAGTACTTAGTACTCAGTGATAAAGTTAACAGTAATTACATCAAAACATGTTTTAAAGATAAATAAATTTTCTTAATTTATTTTAACCTGTTTATTTTCCCATTTGCTGCTAGGCTACTCACTAGCAGTGGCTGTGGCTCTGTCACTTGCAGATTACAACAGAGGAATAGAATTCAAAGGGTTGCTGCTAAGTTTGCTCTTTTCACAGGGACAAAGTTTGCAAGACTCCAAGATAAACAGTATTTTGGGGTGGACCTACTTTTTGTAGTTTCAAGCTTTGAAATCTACCACATGAAAATGCCAAATACCGATCATCATACAGCTCTCTGTTAAATAATGATTAGTGAAAAATTCTATTCATAAGTAAGCCCAAGAGGAGTTTTTTTGCATTTTAATTTCACATTGAAAACCAATCAGATTTGCCACAGTCTCAAAGAGATTAATATTTATGTAAAATTAAATGAGTCCTGGTAGCTAAATGCACTTTTTGTCTAAATTGAAAATTTAAAAATTGATTTACAAATGCAACATTGACCATGAAATTTAGTTATATTCAGTTAACTACATTTTAAGTAATACTACTAATGACATTCCAAAATTATATTTATTTTTATCCTACTTTGTATACGCATATAGTACATATACTATTTATATGTCTTGTGGAGAATTATTACAAGTACATAACACACTTTAATTCCTTTTACAGTACTCCTTCCCTTCCACCTGGCAATCCCCTTCTCCACTGAGAAAGATCTATCCTCCTAATTCTTATTACCTATCATTTATTTTGCTTTATACATTTTTCCTAACTCATATAAGAAAAGCCATGTGGTATTCAACTTGTGCACTTGTTTAATGTCATTTAACATTTTGTTCTCAGAATGCAATCGTTTTCCTAAAATCTCAAATTTATCTTTCTTTGTGGCTAAATAGTAAAATGCTTATATTCAAAGTACTCAATAGTACTTCAGATGTTTGCATAATTTAAATGCTATTATTTTAAAGTAAAATGTGAATAATTCAAAATTTCTAAGTGGTTTAAAAATATGAAATTTTATATCACCATGGTAACATATTATTAAATGTACTTAATAGATACTATAACACCTAGTATATTGTCTCAATACAATATGAAGTATAATAGTAATTGTGGGATTTGCTTTAAGAACTGTTATTAGTCAAGACTAAAAAATAAAGGAAATCATTGCTTTAGTTACTAGCCCATACATTCACATCTAGGAAACATTTATTTGATAACTTTTATTTAAGATGTATATTTTATTGTTTTCAAAAATATATCACTCTTTAATAAATACGCAAATTGACTTTTTTTTTCTCAGATTGGCTTCCACGTCTCCTTAAATATGTTTCATTTTAAGTAACAGAATAGCATGAAAGTAAGAAAAACATGTTTCTAACAAAAACTCAATATGGTAAGAATAGTAAATAAATGTGAACCAGTTTCTAAGAGTATCTCATGGAGGTATTAACTGGAATGCATAAATCTCTCCACCATAGTTCAGTGATGAGGGGCGGTGAAATAAATGTATTAGTCAATTAAGGTATGATTGTCAGTTCGTGAAAAGAAAAGGTTTAATTTTGCCTACAGTTTTAGAGATTGCAGTCTAGATGAGAAAGACATAATAGTTTCAGTCCTCTGATGAGGAAGGGGCAGCACAAGACTGCATGAAGTTTGTGGTGAAGTAACCCTGCTCGCATCGTGAGCACAGAGAGACAGCCTGAGTCATAATTCCTCAGAGCATGTGTTCATGATGACTGCACAGCACTCACCAAGCCCCAACTCTTGTTTCTACAGCCTCCCAGTCTCAGGAATCACCTTTAACATGTGGACTTTCAGGGAACATTCCAGATTTGAACAACTAAATACTGAAATTGAATTAGAGGACCTAGTCTAAGAATATTATTTAGCTTTTATGTGAATTTGGGTGTGTCACTTATTTCTCACTCTCCATTTACTCATATTAAAATACATATAATGATTCTGCATTCATTTCTGCATTATATAATTGTTTTGTGAATTCAAGTATGAAAAAAGTTTTATAACTTGAAAACTAAAACTCTTATCAAGAGGCTTCAAAATATTAAACATATTTTTGTAGATGTCTTTATGACACTTGCACGGTCTAGGTTGTTAAGAATAAAAATAAATATACATTATATATGATATAGATGAATATATATATATGTATATATATACATATATATATATTCTTACTGAAAATGTTCAGTTTACTGATTGTTAGTGTTTAATGTATTTAGAGCATACAATGTATTAGGTAGATAGATATCTGAATTTTATGATTGTTTGAGAATCACATTTGTCGCTTTTCTGTTTGGGGGCAAAAATTTCTCACATTTACAATCTAAATGCACAGAGCTTCATTTTGGCCCACAGTTTCAGAGATTTCAGTCCCCCTGGTGGGAAAGCATCACAGAGGAAAGCTGCTACACTCATGGCATTTGGAAAGCAGAGCAGGTTACAAAGAGCCAAAGAAGAAAGTTTCAGTGACTAATATAGTCCGCAAGGTTATGCTCTCTTGACCCATTTCCTTAAACTATACCCCATGTCCTAAAAGCCCATTCAAGTACAAACTCAGTATTAATGAAGCTACTGCCCTCACAATCTGACACCTCTCCAGGAGTCTCTCAGTCCAGTCAAGACTACAGTGAAGCTCAACTGATTGAAGACTATCACTTTATCAATTTGACACTTAATTACACATCTTGAAACTATGATTAATTTCTCAATAACCTTATATCTTTCAAATACATTTGATCTTCAAATACACCATGACCTCATTCTTCTGCTGGTTCTGCTCCTTGCTTATAACTTTTTGGGCCATGTTCCATTTTCCTGGCATCTCCAAGTTTCTGTGGTATCCACTGCAGCTTCACTCCACTCTCAGGGACTCAGCAGCCTCTCAGGATCTCGTAGCAGGCAGGGATGCTGGTCTTATAGTATTTTTGCTCCACCAGACCAATTAATGCATCATCCTTGAACTCCGCCTTACAGAATTTTAGCCTGTGGATAAACTGTAGAAAAATGATTTGTAAGAATATAGCATTTTGGTCTCTTGTCCAATTGTCAAAAGAATTCTCTTTTTCCATCAGAAGTCTAAAGCTTCTTGAGTACAATTTTTATTCTAAATTCTGTTTAACATTCAGAGCTTCTGAGCTACTGTGATAAACATCTATCAGTCTCTGTTTATAGCTTTCTAGGAGTCTGAAGCCCACATCACCAAATCACACATTCCTCCTGAGAAATAGTTACAAAGGCTTCTGAGCCCCATGGTCATCTGTAGTTGCAGTAATGACCCCACTTCTCTATTGGAAATTTTCTGAACTGTTCACTTTTCTGTTGCTGGACAAAACTTCCAAACCTCATAATTTAAAAGAAAAGCGTATTTTGGTTCACATTTTCAGA